GGAAGAAATAATCGCATACAATTCGACTGCCAACATTTTAAAGTTTTAAACACGCGATATCGGATTGACGACAGAACAGGTACTGACAATATTGTCGATAATGTTAAAATGACAAAATATCTATTGGTAAWAACCAGTAAATATAATATAATAKAACTATAAAGATAAGCAAGCATAGATTGTCTATATCTATAATATAGATAATCGTCTAGGTAGGTCACACACTAAACCCAGTAATACAGGTAGGTCACATACTAAATTCGATTTTCATCCGGTAGGTCACATACTAAACGAATACCAATATATATTGTCTATACACCCTAGATATATAGGTATTAAATATTAATATATTATACAATTAATATAGTTTACTTTATAGTTTATATTTGATTATAATATAATTCGTATTTGCCCTCATTTTGGATGACATTTTTTAGATTTTAACATTTCTATGAATATGACTATATGAGATAATTTTACGAAGAGATCTAGAAAAAAGTATAATGATTGATGTAAATTGTAAAGTGTTCCGGCCAGTTGCGGGATTTCAGGTCGTTTTCGCGGCAATTTGTTCGATACGTTCCTAACGTCTATCCGTAATCCGTTGATAATGATGTGATAAGGGTATAACGGTTTTCGTAACTCGAACGTTCAGACTTCAGATACTAGAGATACTGAAATTTGACTGTTGAGTATTGATACCTTGTATTGACACAAAGTCTTAAAATATTATTAATTAATAATTTTAAATTTATCAATTTCCTTCTTGTTCAATCGCTGATCCCCAGATGTCGATTGATTGTGAATCTAAAATTCGAAAACCTTCAAGTAGGTATTAATGTGTGTGTTTGTGAGCTGTGCACAATTATTGTATTTAGACAAGTAAACATTTTTACATGTTGTAGTTAAATTTGATTATTATACCACTTTAATATTTGATTGCATTTAAAATATTGAACCTTGTCAATACTGAACACCTGGTTATTGTACTATAATTCAACTTCAATTTCCAATTAATTTTATTTAATTGTCCACGAATAATTAAAGATTTTTAACATTATAGTTTTTGACTTCATTACCATGGCTAAAGATAGAATGTCTTCTATCTTAAGCAGTGGCCATAACTCAAAGTCCACACCTACAGACTTCTATGGGTGGCAATCTGTACATTTATTTGAATTAAACGTTATAGTTGCTAAATTGTAGCATAAAAATGGGTGTACAATTCTACTATGCTCGAGATTATACTTTTTTGTATTGTTTTCTTGTTTATTTTCCTTAATACCTACTTTAAAAGTTATGCTTATGTGGGTATTTATCTACAGATTAATATTGGAAATCATTTTAAAATTAACTATTGCTAAATAATTAAATTCAACTTGTATTTTATTTATAATTATGATTTTAAAATGTTTGCCAATTTTAATGGCAATTTAATGTATCCGTTAATCAATGCCAAAGTGTTAAATGTGAATTAGTATTCGACAAAAAACTTAAATAAGTGTTTTAAATTAATAATTTAAAGGCTGATTATTGAAAATCTTAATTGGTTCATTGCAATCGTACTTAGGTAGTTATTATTTTGTAATTAATCTTTTTAAATTTTAATATTTGTAGATTATAAAATATATACATTTTCTCAAAATGGATGTATCAATTTAATGTTTGCTTAAAAAAGTTTGATTTTTAATTTCTACCATAGTTATTTTTTTTATTTGCTTTTTAAAACCGTAGTTATTTAAGATACTGTTGATTTATAATTTTCGTACTTAACTCCACTTCTATTAATAACAAAACTTTGCATATTTTTTCAGATACATCAATTATGAAGCCTCAAGAACTGTGTGATATCGATGACTTAGCTACATCTCTTGTTGTCGATGTATTCCTCGGTTTTAATACCCACAAAATGAACTTAGAACATAAAGAAAGATATAAATGTAAATCACATTTAAAACCTGTGATTGATGAATTCATTAAAAATCAAAGTATGAAAATAGCTTTTGATTCTTTTTGGAATCAAAAGTATATTCCTGATCATTTATTTAAAGTATCTTACAAAAAATTAGTCAGAGACCATATTGAAAGATACATGGGAATGTTTTATTCAGATTCTGGTTTTCGAATTGAACCATGTTATAGGTATTCTTTAGAAAATAAAGTAGGAGCCAAAGTAAATGCTACTAGTCATTGGAAAAAAGATGGAATTATTAAAAGATTAGTTGGATGTGTGGCTGAGTTAACAGAAAAAGAAGAGGATGAAATATTGTATATAGGGAAGAATGATTTTTCAGTGATGTACAGCTGTCGTAAAAAGTGTGCTCAACTTTGGCTGGGCCCAGCTGCATATATTAATCATGATTGCATGGCCAATTGTAAGTTTGTACCTAATGACAAAGGAACAGCTTGTGTTAAAGTACTCAGAGATATTGAACCTGGTGACGAGATAACATGCTTTTATAGTGCTAATTTCTTTGGTGAAAATAATGTCAACTGTGAATGCTGCTCGTGTGAAAAGTTGTGTAAAGGGGCTTTTAAATCCAATAAAGAACAACTGAAATCAGGACGGTACAACTTTAGGCAAACTCATGGTCGAACCAATTATCGGTCTCCTGATAAAAGCAAAAAATTAAAAGAACCAAAAACACCTAAAAAGAAAAAGAATGTGGTTTTGGAACCTTGTACTCCAAATAAAAATCCTGAAGTTGATAAGGGTGAAGCTTTGCTTGGATCACCATACACAAAAATCATCCAAAAGACAAGAGGCTTAGATTTAGACCAGGCATCAAAATCTCCAGAAAAGTGATAAGTACCTAAGCAGAAAAAAGACATTGTTCTACTATATTGAACAAAATTATAAGCTGAATATAATTTGTGTCTAGTTTTCAATTGGAATTTGATTAGTTTTCGGTCTACCATCATTTTTTTTTTTATATATATATAAAATTGTGTTAACATTATGTTTGTTTGTCTATCACCAATTGTTTTCATTAGGTATTTATTGAGCCGTTATATTTACTAAATAGTATGTAATAAGCGCCCACGGGAAGTGTTGTACATAACTCTAAATTTTAATTTTAATAATGAAATGTAATGATTTGACTACGGTTTAACTAACTATAATCTCTATAAGTATTCTCTTTTAATTAAGATACAAATGTTTTAATACTATTAATAACTTGAACAATTATTGCCTATGTCTTACAGACCTAGATAGTTCAGTATCATCTTATTCAGTGTGGTTTCAGATTGATAATAAGCTTTCACAATTTGTTAATATACATAATTATAAGGTACTATTAATTTTTAATTCCTGTTCTTCGATAATTGTCTTTAATATAGTATAATGTAGTTAAAATTGTAATATTTAGAACATTTAACGATTTTAACRCTTCACAATTTATTTTTCTCATTGTCTAAACTTTTACGTTTTGTAATTTAATTAAGCACTGAATATATTTACCTATAATACAAAATATGTACAAAATATTTATTATTGTACTTCAGTGCATAAACCATTTTACTACCAGTGTCATTTTAAATTATTAACATTGATAATTATGAATATAAAATGTTTAAGTTAGCAGGTTAAACAAAAAAATAAAAACCCACGACATCTAAAATGTTCTCGGTCTGGTGGTGCTGCTTAGTGCCTGCCCCTAAATGCTAAATTCTGCTTTTTCATATTATATTAATTATCAAATTTGCCCATTGTACATAGTTGTATAGATTGTAAATTACTTAAATATATATATAAAAAAAAAGTTAGCAGGTTTTAAGTTTTTTAAATATAATATGCTTTTAATTATTAATTATTGGATTTAATTAATAAGAATAAAAACATTACAATTAATTGTATTAAGTACATAATTATAATAATATGTGCTAGACAATACAGTTTACATAAAATGAACAGCTCTGGTAGTCTTGCAAGTGGCWATTATATTAATAATTCGACAATTATCTAACAACTGAAACTATATGTCCAGATTAGGTGTTAAACTTAAAAGTAATTTGTTTGTAGAAATTGAATTTCATACTAATATGCTTAAGCAAGATCAATATGTGTGTAAATAGTTTCATTATGTATGACATTCTAATTACTTAAAATATAAATTGAATATAAATATTATATGGTTTTACATTTAGAATAGTTATATAATAAGTTAAACACTAATTACAATAAAGAAAAACATTTAATCACATATACAAGTAATCAAATTAAAATACTAAACAATCACAGCAGTGAGGACTTGTTCTCCGTGTTCTTAGACCTTGGCTATATATGTACCAAGCAAAAAATTTTCTATCTAAATATTTTTGAATAGTGCACAAAATAGAATGTCTTGGTAATTAAACATAATATAGCCGAACTTTTGATGATGATATCAGCAGATCATCATCATAGAAATTTGTTTCTATCACAATATTACCACTGGAAAAAAAAAATATATGAATTTAGAATTATAATAAGCTTATAACTTAAACTTAAATGTTTATTTTATATAAAAAACTAAGTATGTGTTAAACGGAAGTTACTAATTAGCAGGGCTTGTAAGTTTGTGTCTTAAAAATTCATAAGTAAGATTATAAACATGACTTTAAAATGTTTAGAAATATGTATTATGCCTTAAAACAACGGTTCTCGCACTGGTATTATTTTCAGTTGCTCTGACTTCCATAATTTTATACAGTAAAAAAACATTAATTATTGCATTTTTCATAAAATTTTGGTTTCTTCAGTGTTTTAATAATAAAAAAAATATAATAATAGCAATATAGAAATATAAAAATTATAACTGATATGCTCAATAAAATAGAAAAACTTAAAAATATGCCAATGAGGAAAAAATCTCAGAATATGCAAAATAAATTTAGTAACTTGAAATGGAATACTGTCATCTAGCTTTAAACACAACTTAACAAGAATGATATGAAATTGCATGAGTTTAAAAGCCTTAATATTATAAAAAATAATAATAATAAACACAATTGAGTAGACGCAAAGCAATKTTCAGCTCTAAATATAATATAATAAGTGGATCAGTCTTATGTAAAACCATAGCTCACAACTTAATATTTTCCTCTAGAAGGAAAATCAATGAATTATTAATATGATTTTGTTAATAAATAGGTAACCATGACAACAAAAACCTTACGAAATGTTGGTCTGAAACAAAAATCTTGAATCCAGCCCAAAAACATATTTATGCAGGAAATGAATTTGTAGTGTATATATATATATATATGGTATATAGTGCTTTAAACTAAATAATATTAATTTAATAGAACTATTATCATATTTATAGAAATTTACATTTATTAATTATAACGTTTAAAAAATAAATTATCACAAGATTATAATAAATAAAAATATTATCATAATTTAGTAAAACATACTTTAGAACATTTGCAGGCATCATTTGTGATTCTGGTGCTGCTTCAATAAGCGACTGCCAAGTGTTAGTTGAGTTAGGAATAACAAAACCAAATTCAAAATACCATTCTTCAAGACAACGACCCTACAATGTATGATAGATAAATGTTAAATAATATAAAATAATGTGAGGACAGACAATAAAATAGTGTTAAATTTTAAGACAATATAAATATTAAGGTCTAGTCTGTTGCAAAAATATATCAAGTTTATGGTCTGTTTAGTATTATTCTGTTTAGAAAATAGGCCAATGACATTATAACAGTAGGTACCTAAATTATGTTTTATGGAAGTTCATAATATAGAGAATTATTTATTACTAATTTTTCAACCTAAACAATAGATTCATACCTTAAACAGTACTTTTTGTTGTAACCTTAGTTTTTCCATAGGTTCTACAGATGAAAAATTGATCTCCCTGGATACAGCTCTACACTTCAATATCTTTTTTGGTACTTTAGCTTCGTGTTCCTTGTCGGGTAATGATCTAATAAAAACATATATATATATATACATACACTGAAAATTCATCATACCCTTATTATGTGGATAGTACAAAAATATTTTATAATGTTCTTACAGATCCTCGGTGCCTTGCCATAATACAACTCCCGTATCGGCGTCTCTTAAATTCATCCAATTGCTATAATATAATGGGAACAAAAAATGTAATTTACAAAAATTGATCAATGCTATGCCAAATGTTCAACTTACACTTGGAATCCATTTAAGATGTCCTCAGGCTTTGGTCCCATTATGATAGTTATCCTATGATTGGCAGAACTTGTAAATAATGATTCGAACTAATGTTCAGACCGAGCAACAGGACATATTTTAGAACTATATAACAGCTATGGACTATGAATGCAGTAGAGATCAGAAAAAACGATAAGTACAAAACGATTGACTAAAAAATATTTTGGGAACCTTTTCGACGTCCCGTTGGAGAAACGGAAAACGGGTGCTCCGAAAATACGGTTCGTTAATAATACTATATAATAAATAAGATATTAAAAGTGTATATGATAATATATACCTAAATAATTATTACGTATAGTTTTTTATTATTTTGTTATTAGACATTGATTACTATTAGTTATTACTCATTGCTGTTATTACTTATTAGTTATTAGGTCTTAATATAATTGTCCAATGGTTTATTATTATTTATTATTGATAATAATATTATAATAATCAGGTCTCAAAGAACTAAAGAAGGCCGAACGATTTTTGACGACAACCGCGATTTCGAGCTGGAGGAAAAAATAAGCATTACCGCTCGCAGTTTCACTTCCACGGCCGTCGAGTTCACGCTCGCGCCACTCGATATTATTTCCTGCAGGTTGCAACCTGCAAGCTGGGGTTGGACCGAGTCGATGTTCCGCGGCGCGGGAGCTTAGTGCTTTTGCATTTAGGCCATCTAGCTGCACAGTGCACAGACCGCGACAAAAGAACCCGATTATCTGTGAATCGATCGTACGTCGGCTCGATGCTCTTGCGTGCTGTGTACGCGTTGTATTTCTCATAATATAAAACGAACGGACGATGGATTAATTATAAATTATAATTATTAGATCGGTACCTTATATATTTATACTACCTGTACTCTATAGTATCGTTTCCGCCGGAAATGACGTCGTCGTCCGTCAACCTACAGACCGCCGGGATGTCGGATGCTGCGGTGGCTGTGGCGGTAGACGACGGGTCCGGGGCCGCGTCCTCTAATCGAAATCCGATGCTGTGTTTCCTGTGCGATGACTACTAYGACGATCCTTGCATCCTGATATGTTTCCACACGTTTTGCGCCAAATGTATCCGAACCAAAAATCAGGACAGCAAAATCAATTGTCCCTTGTGCGGGTGAGTGTGGTACCTAGCAGGCGCGGATTCAGAGAGGGGCTATGGGTGCTCAGGCGCCCCCTGTCATCTAGACACCAACAAAATAAATTTATATTATAAATTATATAATTTGTTATTTTTCAAAATAAAATAAATAATAATAATAATTTCGGTGCTTTTTGTTATCGCCGTCACTACGAACATAACTACCTATTATTGTTAATTGTTTTCGAAGTATACTCGTGTGTATAACGCACGCGTCAACGGCGGAAAGCACCGATAACAATTATTATGAAAAAAAAGTTAGCACTAATTAATCAAATAGAAAATGGTAATATTTAAATAAATAGTAAGGTGTATTAATTTTATTTTTGAGCACCCCCTGTTAAATTTTTCTGGATCCGCGTCTGACTACCTAGTCTGCAGTTAATATATTATAATATGTATGTTGAATGATAATTATTATATACCTATATCCTGTAGGTATAATGATATAACGTATACATTGATGTTTATTAGGGGGGGGGGGTTTAAAATATTGAGATCCCTTAAGCCTTCCAAGTTCCAAAAATTAACTGTTTTTTTATATGTTTTTAACACTTAATTTACTTTCTAAAGTTTATATTTTAGGTGAACGTAAACCTATATATATATATATATTAATATATTAAATACATATTTATGTGGCTATACATTATTATTTAATATAGTATTATTATACTCGTGGCTAGTACCAGTGGAAATTGTATTATAGATGTTCTAATTGTTCTTGTTTCTTGATAAATTTTGTTTCGTATAGGTACATAAATGATTGTTAATAATATTTCTACCTATTATGATATTTTTTCCAGCTACCTATTTATAAATTAATTGGGTATTATTACTTCCTTTAGATATTTTACGATTGTTCTACCGAATTTAGAATTTGTTAGTTTTAAGTTCTGTTTCTCAAACTGACACATAAATTCGAATAAAGACGGTGAGCTATTGTATAGTTCCATCACAAAAAGCGGTAAAATTAATTACCCACTTTAGATTATTATATGAAAATACGGTTTTCTATTATAATTTTTTACTTCTAATATATCCATATTCGTCGGATTGAGGTTGTCTAACGGTTTATATTATATTGTAGAATATATGATATATAGCTAGTGGCGTAGATGTGAAATATTATAATTATAATTATTTTTTTTTT